CAGTACCGTCTCACCAAGAATGTGGTCCGTTGGTTGTGCGACGAACTGCGCGAGGAGCCTGAGTTGAGGAGGCTGCGACGTTCGTGGACTGTGATGACTGTGGAACGGCGAGTGTTGTGCGCACTTCGCTTTTACGCCACGGGGAGTTTTCAGGGCATGGTGGCGAGCGACGAGCACATAGCGAGGGATCAGTCTACAGTCAGCATCGTTGTGCGGGCTGTGTCCCTCGCTATTGTGCAGTGTCTGGGGATCCGGCGCGGCTGGATCGACTTTCCCCAGACAACCGGCGAGAGGGACGACGTCGAGAGGGGCTTCCAACGGCTCGGCAGGATACCCGGCGTCATCGGTTGCGTCGACGGGACGATGATTGCCATCGTCGCCCCGTCAGAGAACGACCCCACCGTCACGAAGGCGGCGTATTGGTGCCGCAAGCAATACTACGCTCTCAACGTGATGGTGGTAAGTACGATCACATATATACTACGTCTCACCTTAGCATGAACTAACTGAGAAGACTGTACGAGCGCGAACTGCCTGACTGGAGCACTCGCTGCACGAGCGCTCGTGCAGCCGCCGGGGCTTTATCCAAAGCAGCTAGCTCGCGCTTTTAGCTATAGGTCAATGCCCGTTCTGAATGGGTTTGAAAAAGAGCGTAACGCTAATGCGGTGTGGATATGCCATTTTATAAATTAAAGTTATGGGTTGTTAGTGCTCGTTCATCCTCCGCACAAGCTTTTGTTCGACGGACGGAGGGAGGGTTGTTTTCATGTCGTGTTAAGCTTTTAAGCAATAGTTCGTGTCCTGCATGATAAAGTGTAAACTCTCCTTTGAAGAAAAAAGCAAATTTGCCTAAACTATTGCGTGGATCAAAGGTAGTGGCTATTTATCATATAATTTTAATCTTTGTAACACAGACAGCGCTCTGTCTGTGTCCTTCTTCATGCAGTCCGTCGTTGTTTTTGTTGTTTTCTTTTTGTTTTTTTGCGCTCAGCGCTCTGTCTATATCCTCCTTCATCCAGTCTGTCGTTTTTTGCGTTGTTTTAATGTTTTAAGTTTGTAAACCACGTAATTTATGGTGGTGTGTTGGTCAGCATGTAAATCGTGTTTGACAGGGCCCCATGACCATGAGTGCAATGAACTGTTTGTGGATTCAGTTGAAATAATGTCGACACATGTCTCTCTATTGCAGGTGTGTGACGCCGACTGCCGGGTCATGAGCATCGACCCACGGTATCCTGGGTCGGTGCACGACTCCTTCGTGTGGCGCTACTCGTGGCTCCGGAGCAACTTCGAGCAAGGCCGGCTGGTAGACGATGGCAGGTTTCTGCTCGATAAGCATACTCCAGTTGTTGGTACTGTATGTACATGATGGCTCTGCACCACTTATAAGCTACAATATCACACATACTGTTGCGAACATAGATAACTGGCATGCGCTCTGGCCATACCTGTGACACGTCTCCTTGGAAACACTCTGACGCAGCTGTCAAGTACTGGGGGAAAGGTTGCAAACATGCGCCTTTCTTTGCTTAGTTGTCAACAATTTTAAAGGGATACTACAACAAAATTTCGGTGCATATTCTTTGGTCTATACGTGTTCAGAAGAGCAGTATCACATCGGACACGCCAATATCTTGTTAAAAAAGAGACAAAAAGGCATTAAAAAAAATTAGGCGATTAGGAAAGAGCACCTTCTAGATGTCTAGGAACCTTGACAGGTAGTGACCGATAACTGTCTCGCTTAGAACCATGCATGCTTTGAACCTGACGTCATCTTGACAGCTCAACGGCCAGCAGAACAGACAAGGGGAGGGAGCAACTCCACACTCAACGGGACTCTCTTTTGTGTGTACCAAGATTATAGAATATTAATTTGTCACTCAAAATTACACAAAAGCAGCTTTGGGGTTTGTTGCGGTGGCCTGATCGCTGGCATGCTTCGACCGCTTTTGTTGCTTGAACAGCTAGGGCATCCTGACGATGTCTGCCTCGCCGCAGCTTTGCTCATCCCAAGAGAAACTACATCACAATTGCACCGGATGTGACGTGCTCTCTGGTGGCTGCTCTCCGAGCGCTTGCCAGTCTGGCCTGTTTATAATGAAAAATATAGCCATAAGGCTCAAAAGAGAAATGTATGATTGTCATTTACGGGTATTGTGGATCATGTTCAGCCTATTTCTGAACATGACGGGTACATTTCAAATTTCGTTGATGTATTCTATTAAAGAGAACAGCATTAATATCATACATTTCCTTCTCTGAATGTGCAGGTGACAGCGGCTATGCCTTGGAGCCTTGGCTCATGACCCCTGTCCCTGGATTCCACGCGACCTCCACCGCATGCGGCCGGTTTAATAAGGCACATTCTTCGATGAGGTCCGTTGTGGAGCGCTGCATTGGGCTGTTGAAGAGCAGATTCCGGTGTCTGCAAAGGCACCGGGCTCTGTTTTATCATCCCACAACAGCCACCGTCATTATATCGGCGTGTGCAGTGCTCCACAATATCTGCCTTTCATCGAATGAGCCAGAACCGGAGCCAGACTCTGACCCTGACGAGCCAGGGTTGGAGTCTGGGCCGAGCTCGGACGGTTCTGAGTCGAGCTCGGAGGGGTCAGCGGCGGATGACGAGAGGCCGGCTCCTGCCCACCCTCGGGTCAGCCTCTCGGACAGGGGGAGGGCTCTGAGGCAGTGCCTTGTTGCCCAGTTCCAAACCTGCCACAGCCGTGCCGCTCCGGAGCCCCACGCAAGCCACGGTGGCAGTCCCGCCCACCAGGGACACCACCAGCGCCAAGGAGTCCGTCGCCACAACGGAAGTCCCGCCCATCAGGGACACCGTCGGCGGCAGGGAGCCCCTCATCGTCCTCGCCACGGTGGCACTCCCGCACACCAGGGACGCCACCGGCGACAGCGAACCCTTCGTCGTCCTCGCCTCAACTGACGCCCTCGCCACCAGAGAAGCCCTCCCCGTGGCAGTATGTACTGCACTTGTTGTTCCACAGTCATGGCCGTCCATAAGCTCCACAGTGTCAACTCCGCCTTGCGGTTCGTCGCACAACCACCATGCTACCTTTACGGACATTTAGTACTGCCTCCGAAAAGCTATTCGGTGCATCAGTTATGTTGATAGAGCCTTTTTTTTTCATTTGTAAGCAGGGTGCACACATTTTTTGGACAATAGCAGAACATTTTGTAGGGTTATGAAGCTAGCCTTTGCAAGAGACTGAGAACTCAATGAGGCTACTGGTGAGACCTATTTTTTTTTTTTTTACTACAATATATTGTTTGTATCGGGTTTGGACATCGTCTCATTTTCTCTACACTTCTATTGCCCTGCTCCATTTTACAATCTATTATGGCTACCACAGAGCCAGGTGTATTACTCGATAATCGCAGATTAGATTCGTGCCAACTTGAATGTATAAAGAAGACAACAAGTAGTTTGTTTTTGAAAGTGCTTTCTTTCTTTATAACAATGCCGTAACGTGAAAAATAAACATGTTTGAAAACACAGGTTGCAATGCTTTCTTTAAAGTGAAATTGAGCATGGACTGGTAAACACCATATACATTCTTTGTCATTATTAAGGATATATCACAGACATTATTTCACACTTCACTTAATTCAGCACAGTGCCATTTCGTTTGTGTTTTGTCACACATTTGAAAGCACAGGTTGCAATGGTTTTTTTAAAGGGAAGCTACGGAGCTTCTTAAAAAAAATGAGTTAGAAGTGAATTCTAGTGTATTCTTACCTCGTGAACCCGAATACCACAACCATTTGCCGCGCAAGTATTGTTAAACGCGAGAAAAACACGAAAGACAGTCGCTGTCCGTGACGTCATCGACGGATCTTTTGGCTTGCCAAGGCTCGGTAGGCGGGGCTTCAGCCCTATTTTCAATTTGCTCTTACGGCTTTCCGACGCGTCGCATTGAAATATAATTGTGATATCTGTTATTCTGAAGGTCAAATGAACGCAATTCAAGCGTTTTTTCTCAAATGTAGAAGTGCCCCATCTTCCCTTTAAAGTGAAATTGAGCATGGACTAGAAACACCGTATAAATTCTTTCTCATTATCAAGGATATATCACAGACATTATTTTACACTTGACTTAATTCACCACACTATCATTTCGTTTGTGTTTTGTCACACATGGAAGCATGACAGATTCCATAGCTGAGGCATGTTGAGATCAACAATGATATAAGAAAACAAACAAACAAAAACAGGGACACAGACGAAGGGAAACAGGACAAGGCGCACTCTCATCCCTGTTTTTTTGAGCGCTTTTTTTGTTTGCCATTAACCAGCTGGCCCAAATCTCCACTTTATTGCGATATAAGAAAAATCGCAAACCCAGAGGCTAGTTTCAGGCGGAAGAAAACTACAAGTATAAAATTCCTATGGCTCAAGCCACTTGGCACCTTTGATGAAAAAGCACACACTACATATTGCTGTCCTACAAACATGAGGAATGGCTAGTTTTAGCATATATCTGTCATGCCTGTTGCCAAGAGCATATTACTAACTTGCTTCACTGGTTATAGTGACTCCAATAAACAAATACAGAAGGCACAGTTCTTTGTAAACAAAATATGAACTGAAAAGCATGGACATACTTTCCCGTAATGTCAACATTGTTGTAAAGATGTTTAGACAGCAGAACATCAGCCTTCCTTTAAGCAGTGGCTCACTCATAGTATTATTCACTGTATGGCGAGCCCAGTGTGCGTAGGAACTTGTCCATTAACACGCACCACATACCAGTGGCACAAAAGAACATATTTCTTGTCTCCGTCTGGAGAACAAAACAAAAAAAGAAAAAATGAATACCAACTTGGAACATAAAATAATCATCCATAAAACTAAATTATATCTGGCTGGACTCAGCGGTGCTGGGCTCGGCTGGGCTCGGAGGGGCTGGGCTCGGCGGGGCTGGGCTCGGCGGGGCTGGGCTCGGCGGGGCTGGGCTCGGCGGGGCGGGGCTCGACGGGGCGGGGCTGGAGGGGTGGCTGGGCAGGGCTCGGCAGGTCTTGGCTTCGCAGGGCTCGACTTCTCTCGGCAGTCAGCAGCAGAACGACCTCGACGAGCACGCGGGTCGTGTTTTGGAGTTCCAGGGCCACCGCTTGTGTGGCGCGAGCTTGCTCCTGGTTCGACTCCGCAACAGCCTCCATGCGGTGGCTGAGGGTATCGATTGAACGCAGGAGCTGGAAAGACGGGGCATTTAATGCGCAGCAACAACATATTTCTAGACACCCAGAGGGCGTGAAAACCTTGCATATGTCACAGTTCGGTTTGCATTATGCTTTTGTAGATCTCCATTGCCCTCTGCTGCAGTCCCACTTTCACAGTGGCATCTTTATTAAACTCGTACCTATTTAGTCATGTTACGGAGTTCTATGTTTGAGCCAATACCTGGCCTTGGAACTCCACGTCCCGCGCGTCCCTCGTCTCGTTCTGCTGCACCTGCCGAGTCTGGTTGGCGACTGCCTGCATGGCAGCCTCGTCGTGCCGCTCCTGCCTCGACATTCGGGGGGTGGCACGAGGCGCCGTGGGCCGCACCCGGGGCCTTGCAGGTGGCCTGACATCTGCCAGGAAACAAAGAATGCTTCTGTCATATCAGACAATCCTAGTTGTCTTCATGAGAGGTCTCACCCCGCGAGGTGGAGGGCACCGGCTCGGCTGCCTGCTGCCCGTGACCTGCCTGGGCGCCTGTGGGTCTCCCCTGGAAGGGAATTTGTAAGTCCTAATCAGCACACAGGACTTGTCTGCATTTTCTAGATATTGAGAGTGGGTTTGTTGAGGCTGCATTCCACTCAGGGGAAACAAAATTACACTGTTTCAGAGGTAGTGCCATTCATGTCTAGGATTGACTCCCCAAATATGTCTAGTGGCAGCTCAAAAGGTTGCAGTTCCCCTGTTTTTGTGAAAATGTACCTCTGTGATACAGAAATTGAATCTTACGACAGCGTGCACACAATACAACTGAGGGTTGCAACAACCACAAAAGCAAGAAGAAAAAGGACTACACAAAAACTACAGATGTTTTGGCCTTAGAAACTCCAGTATTACTGCAATAAATATAGTGTTTTTTGTCGTAAGTGCTTTTGTTTTAGATTTTGCCTTTACGTGGATGAATTAATCCGCCCTCCGATTCGCTGAATTATAAAAAGTGCGAGCACCTTTAATGCATATATTCACATTCACAGGGGCGGATTTAGAGGGGGGGTCGGATGTCCTGACCCCCCTCTTGATTTCTGCATGTGTAAAATTTAGGGCATTAAACAAGGGAGAGGGGGAGGGGGTTCCTAAACATATGTTACGCTGACCAACACCTGACCCCCCCCCCCCCCCCCTCAGGAAATTTCTGCATCCGCCCCTGCATTCATATTTATCACATTTCACTGCGGTATACATCTTAGCTCACTGATAATAAAACCCTGCACGGATATTCTCCATTGGGATTGAACAGCTACATGTGCAATAGTATGTTAGGTTCAAGCGTGCACTCACCTCGGCCTCGTCCTCAAAAGCGGGGACGGAAAACCCAGGAGCGCCCAGGGCCGAGTCCTCGCCCACCAGCGTCAAAATACGTGCGTATGATGACGCCAGTGAGCGCACCCGGCCGCCTCCTCCCCCAGTTTGCCTGCGAGTAAAGGAAGTAATTCAATAGCTTGGTCCACACTATGAGTGGACGACGCAAATTACCTCGCCTGTTTCGCCAGCTGGGCTGCCCGCGCCCGCGCCTTTGACACCCGCACGGCCCAGTAGCGTTTCCAAGCTTCCGGCTCCTTCCTCGGAGGCCCGAGGTAGTTGAGCCGGGAGGTTAGCTCGGTCCAGAGACGAACTTTGTCGTCTCTGGACAGGGCCGGGCTGAGCTCAGTTGCACCGCGTACCAGAGAGGAGTTCTCGAACATAAATGTATCGAGTTCCTCCCTCTGGGCCGCGGTCACACGTTGCCTGCTCCCGTCGTCCATGTTGTTTGAACCATAGTCACTGACAATTTAAGAAACGCAGGGTACTGCAAGACTGGAACCTTTTATTATCGCTCCGCAGCCAATGAGATAGCCGCATTAGCCGATGAGAACGCCGAGGAACCAATCACGACGCAAGAAGAGCGAGCATGACAGGCCACATCCTCCCGTTTCTTGAGCCGTCATCAGTGACAGTGATTTGAACTAGGCGCTCATTTGCATCCCGCATGTTGTTCTAACCTTTTATGCGAGTTTACTTCATCTAATATTTTTTGGAACCGCTACAAAATCAGTTGTTCATTTCAATAGAACACGTGTATTTTTTTAGTCTGACAAGTTTCTTTAAAAAAGAGCCGATGTGAAGGTCGCCGCCGCAAGGGATTGGCTGCCATCGCTTGACTAAAAGCAGAAAATGCCTTTCCGGTTGCCGGAGAAACGGACGCTTGCGTAGGGAAAAGGCTCCAGATAGGTACCGCCGGGAAAGCGTAGGTACGGCAGGGGGACAGCGTAGCTACTTCCGCTCTTCGGCGGTTGGCTCTTGACGCCTCTCAAGTGAGTGACAGACGCCAATCTTGCCATGTCGTCACGGCGTCAAAGAGGGCGGTTTCGCGGTGCGCGCCGTTGCTTGGTTACGCTCCTGCTGCCGCTACGTCACTTCTGTTTCTAGTTTCTCGAAAGTCCAACATAGGTCCCCTGGTGGTTGAGTCGAGCCCGGGGTAGGTTTGGACCCTTCGGGGCCCCCCGGGTGAGGCAATACACCACTTCGGCCCCCGCTTCCCGTAGACGGGTGTCCTGGCTTGGCCCGACTAGGATGATTCAGCCTAGTCGCCACTTCTACTATCCCCTCCTTTCTTTCATCCTCGTCTTCTCCTTCTTTTCACTCTTCTCATTTCTCTTCTTTCCTTCTTCAACTCCTTTGGCGGCAAGGGCTAACCTTGGGTGGCGACAGACCCCTTGTCCAGAACCACACTCGGTTATAGAGACTGGGCAGCACTAATAGAGTAACGTCTTCAGCCAAGCCATTCTTGTTATGAAGCGCTACCTATTCCCTTGTTGGGCTCGGTGGTGGGCGGTGCGCCACAGTCTTCGAACACAATTCCCCTCTTATGGGTTCCAAGCTTAAACCTTCTGATCGGGCCCCCAAAAGGGTCCGCACCGATGCATATCTACCACCTTTGAACAAGAGCAACACTGACTATGTTACAAAGTTTTTCATTATGCATTCTGAAGATGAGACGAAACCGATGTCGAAACTCTCCCCTTTCCTTGTGGCTAAGGTCTTAAAAGACTTGGTAGGGGAAAAGTTTAATGCAAAAAAAGACTTTTTCTGGAGACCTTTTGGTAGAAGTATTTGAGAAAAATCAGGCAGCAGCATTGCTCTGCCTCAACCATATCCTTGACACAAAAGTGAGCCTCTCTGCACACCGTGCTCTAAACACCATTCGTGGTGTTATATCTGAGGACGACCTGATGGAGAGTCAGGAGGAAGAGATTCTTGAAGGCATGCGCAGCCAGGGTGTTGTTGCTGTGAAGCGCATCACCATCCGTAGAGATGACAAACAACTTCCTACGCGACACCTGGTTCTTACCTTTGAGCTAAACAGCCTGCCTTCTTCCGTGAAAGCGGGGTACTTGAATTGTAGAGTCCGCCCTTATATACCTAACCCTGTCCGTTGTTTCCGTTGTCAGCGCTTTGGGCACGGCTCGCGGTCCTGCCGTGGCCGTGAGACATGTGCCAGGTGCGGTAGCTCTGAGCACAACGCCGACGACTGTCATGAAGACGTGAAATGTGCAAATTGCAAAGGCAAGCACCCTGCATATTCTAGGTCATGTGAACACTTTAAAAGAAAGAAAGAAATCCTGACCCTGAAGGTGAAGGAAAACATCTCCTATCCCGAAGCAAAACGTCGCCTCTTAGGTTTTCAGAGAGGCTCTTTTGCCGAGGTGGTGCACCGGGGACCGGCACCGCCTATGGCGTCTCTGGGAACGCAAGTGTCTTATGGGGACCTTGCACAACCACTAAAGTCCTTTGGTCCCAAACTGAAGGTGCAACTTCCAGGGCGTGCTATCTCAGCTGCCCAGGCAGGTGCCCTCCCTAACCGTGCGAAAGGCTCGGATGCATCAACCGAGCAGACGGAGGCCACCCCGTCGCAGAAGAAAGGTACCTCTGGAGCAGTGCACACTGCTCCACCCCGAGATTACAGGGTGGATGCTGGTCAGTCGGGATCCACCTGAGCACAGGGCTCTGCGTTCCCTGCACAGGGTTCTGCACCCCCTGCTTCTCCGTTTCAGTCATCACGAGGTCGGGGACTTGGTCCCTCTGCCCCTGGTGGATCTCGGAAACCGGGGGAGCCGTCGAGGTTACAGGCCTCCAAGGAGGAGCCCCTTTTGGCTCTAGCTGAGCGAATGGACGAGAGTGGGTCAAGGTCCGATGAGGGCAGACTCCACTCGAGTTCTGAATCTCTACTTCCGGCCTCCGGTGGCACCACGGGCAGGCAGAATAACACCTCCAAAAAGAAAAATGCTCCGCGCGTAAAGATAGATTTTAAGTCGTAGAAAATCTGCTTACTCTTAACAGTTATTTTTAATTTTATTTTTTATTATAAACTTCACAATGATCCACAATTTTAGCATTATGCAGTGGAATTGTCGCGGCCTTTTTCATAACATCGATCACATACATTTGTTTCTTGATGAGCTCCGTCCTGTGGCCTTGTGCCTACAGGAGACTTATCTGAGTGACACACACACAAAAGTGCTACATCGTCATCAGGTTTTCCGAAAGGACCGCATTTCATCAAACCCTTCGGGTGGTGTAGCAGTGGTAGTGCAGAGTGGAGTTGCCTGTGCTCCAGTCCCTCTACGGACTCCCCTTGAGGCAGTTGCAGTTCGAATTCTTCTGGACCGCCTCATTACCCTTGTATCACTCTACTTGCCTCCCAACACTCCGCTGCATTTGCAAGAACTTCAGGGACTCGTCGGCCAGCTACCCGAGCCCTTTTTAATTCTTGGCGATTTTAATTCCCACCACCCCTTGTGGGGTAGTCCTCGACAGGACTCTCGTGGTGGAGTCATTGAGCGACTTTTATTATCATCCGGGTTATGTCTTTTAAACCAAAAAGAAGCAACGTTTTTTAGTGCCGCCCATAACACTTTTACAGCTATTGATTTGTCCCTGTCATCACCATCGTTACTCCCATGTTTTTCATGGAAGGTTTTAAAGAACCCTTTTGGCAGCGATCATTTTCCCATTATTTTAGAAAGCGTTAAACCGATTCCATTGATTCCTACTCGCCTTCCCAGGTGGAAGTTAGAGAATGCCGATTGGTCTATTTTTGAATTAGAGGCTGTGATTGATCCATCTTTGCTTCGTACTATGAGCCCCGACAATGCGACAGTTTATGTCACTGAATGTATAATTAGTGCAGCTTCGAATTCTATTCCTCAAACATCTGGACATCTTCCTAAGAGATGCAAACCGTGGTGGACTAAGGAGTGCACAACCAGTCGCAAGGACCAGAATAAAGCCTGGGGAGTTTTTCGTCGGTACCCTACCAATCAAAGCCTAATTGCATTCAAGAAAAGTAGGGCTAAGGCGAATTGGACACGAAAACAGACTAAGAAGGTTTCATGGACCAAATATGCCTCTTCTATAAATAGCCTTGTTCCAGCGAAGGAAGTATGGGACCGCCTGCGAAAAGTCCGAGGCGACTATCAACCTTTCCGAATCCCTCTTTTTCCCTTGCCTGCCGTATCTCTCAAAGATCAGGCAAATGTTCTTGGTATGCACTTCCAACATATATCTAGTTCTTCCCACTTTAGTGTAAAGTTTCAGAAGTTTCAGTCTACTGCTGAAAAGCAATCAATCTCGATGTCAGGATATGACCGGGCAGCTTACAATAGACCGTTCAGTATGTGCGAACTGGAAGTGGCGCTGGGTGTAAAAAAGCAGTCTGCACCAGGCCCAAACAGGATTCATTACGAAATGCTGAGGCATTTGTCCCCAACATCATTAAGTCATTTGCTTATGTTTTTTAATCATCTATGGAAAGTAGCTGCTTTCCCTCGATGCTGGAAAAGCGCCCATATCATTCCTCTTCTGAAGCCTGGTAAAGACCCCTCTCTTCCAGCGAGTTACCGTCCCATTGCGCTCACTAGTTGTCTTGGGAAGACTTATGAAAGGCTCATCAACCGCCGTCTGGTGTATTTTCTGGAGGAAGAAAATATTTTGGACATTAATCAGTGTGGATTTCGGGAAAGACGATCAGCCACAGACCATTTGGTTCGTTTGGAGACTTTTATCCGTGAGGCATTTGTACATCGGCAGCATTTTGTCTCGGTATTCTTCGATCTGCAAAAGGCCTATGATACCACATGGAGGTATGGAATTCTTCGGGATCTGCACAGCTATGGAGTACGAGGCCGCATTCTCCAGTGTATACAGAATTTTTTAAGCGACCGGACTTTTCAGGTCCGCTTGGGTTCTACACTGTCCGATGTGTTCCCCCAGGAAAATGGAGTCCCTCAGGGAGGAGTTTTAAGTGTTACTCTGTTTGCTGTAAAAATTAACAGTCTTGCAAGTGTGATTCCACCGTCTGTGTTTTACTCATTGTATGTGGATGATGTGCAGATCTCCGTTTCTTCTTGCAACCTCTCCAGCAGTGAACGACAACTACAACTTACAGTCAATAGGATGAGCAAATGGGCAGATGAAAACGGTTTCACTTTTTCTCCCGAAAAAAACTGTCTGCGTTCCCTTTTCGCTCCGCCGGGGATTGTCCCTTGATCCTTC